ACGCGGCCTGGCTGCCGGTCCAGGTTCCCCCCCGAGCTGGGAGCGGGTCCCGGCCCGGCACCTGCGGGCCACCAGCACTTGCCAGGAGGCGCACACTGAGGAGCCAGCCCGGGCAGCTCCCGCAGAAGCTCCGTCCCGCAGCGAAGGGTTTATTCTACCTACAACCCCCCGCGCAGTCCAAGTGCCGGCCTCGTCCCGGCGCGAGTGCTGGAGAGCCTCATCCAAAAGGGCAGCAGGCGTCAGGACGCACCGCCCAGGCTCAAAACGGACACCCACGTCCCTGGGTGGGCTCGAACCACCAACCTTTCGGTTAACAGCCGAACGCGCTAACCGATTGCGCCACAGAGACAGGCGCAAGCGAAGCTTCCTGGCAAGTCAGTTAACCGACAGCAAAGTCCTGGCGCCACATCTCCGAACACTCGCGGTCGAGGCGGCCTGGGAACTCGAGGACGGTCCCGCCCGCGCTCCCCTGTGGGATCCCGAGGCTCAGGAAGGGGGCGTCGAGGATGGAGGGACAGGGGTCTTTGGGGAGCCAAGGTGCGTGCTCCCTGTGCTCCGGAGTTCACTGGTTCTGCTCAGAGAAGTACGTCCATAACTTTTTTGCTGATCTAGACAATTTATTAGTTCCTGTGTACATGTGCTAGTACTAACTCATAATAATCTTATTGTGAAAATTTTAAATACCAACTGCCGTAGACCAATTCCAGCATGTCATAATTTCAAGAGTCTCATCAAAAGGTTGATGAGACCTGGGAACTCAACAGGGTTGAGTCACACATTAGTCACCTGTTGGGAATGGCTAAAGGCATTTCCCCAAACCTGAATAGGAAACTGATTGTGGCTGCCAGACAGTTAAAGGGCATCTTAGTCTACATGTTATTGCCTCCTGCTGGCCAAACACCTGGACAGCCGTAGGCTATTCCCCCATTCTGACAATGGACTCTGTACCCTTTGAAACCTTAGCCTTTGAAGTGTATTATCTCCACCTTGCCTTAGGACAAATTGTGTTAATAAAAGCAGGGGTCCTAGACAAGGAGGGAGTCTTCAGTTCCTTTGGCTGAAGGTCCTCTGACCCCCAATGCCTTTCAAAATTATAACTCGTCTCCGGACTCTTTATTAGTCTCTGGATTTCTATGTCATCTGTGCACAGCCTTTTCCAGATTCCTGAACCCTTCTGGATGCTGGGACATGAACCCCCGCAACCAACTGTGTCCTGCAAAATACAAAACCTAAGTAAGGGAGCCTAACATCTTCCACCCAGCGGTTCTGAAAGGTTTCTGCAGGTGTGTTAGGACCGGGTGGTTGAATGACTTTCACAAGGTTACATCGAACCCAAATCTCAGAGGGCAAAGGCCGCATTTCCAACATCATCAACCCAGGCTCCGGACCAGTGCCCTCCCCGTCTCCCCCAGAGGAGAGAAGCTTCTGCCCCTCTGTCCCTGGGCCATTTCAAGGCCACAGGGTTCGTGAGTCCCATCACCTTCCCCGGGCGTATCTAGGCACTTGCCACACCGAGTCTTCGCTGCACTGGGCACGGGAGCGCCGTCTGTCTGTCACCCGAGTCCCAGGCCCCTCGAGGCCTCCACGCGGAGCATCCTTCTCCCTCCTGCGCCGCCCTGTGAGATGAGTGCCTGGTCCGGGAAAGCTGAGCCTGCACATACATCTGCTCTGACGTCTGTGGCTGACCCTGGAACGGGGCGACTGAGCGAGACTCCAGGGGGCCAGGGGGAAGTAACAGCCAGAAGGCCGAGAGCTGCCACCCCAGAGGAGACAGGAAAATACTGGAACTGCAAAACTTCAAAAGAAGGAGAATTGTTAAGGAAATTATTATGTAGCCATAGGGTACAACACAAGGAAGTCATTTAAATAATGTTTTAGACTAATATTTAAAGAATATAGAAATGTTCACATTTTAAAGTAAACAATCAAGTAGGTTTAAAAAATATACACAGTGTGATTCCAATTTCTCATTTCAAAATGTCAGGAGTAAACATACAGCAAAATATTAATAAGGATTTCCTGGATAATAAAAAGATGGCTGGCTTTTCTTTCTGTTTATTCTCCATATTGTCTACAAGGGCTTTAAATTACTATTATATCCAGGAACAATGGCATCTTTTAGTATATGTGCTGCCGAAGCGAGCACCAATGGCATCTTTTTAAAAATGAGCATACACTATGTGCCAGGAGCCAGCGCAGGGATTACTGCAGAGAACTCAAGGCCGCCAAAGGTCTCTAAACCTGGGGGGCGGCCCCGTCACATTGAGACCAGCAGCCGAGGCCCAGGGAAGTGAACGCAAAAGCAGCCTGTTCGGTGGTGATAAAAGCAGGGCCCGGGCAGACCCGCGCTCACGTCCCGGTCCCGCCTGGAATAGACAGAAGGCGTTGTAGGGAGACCGGTTCGCCAGTTGGCGCGCCTTCGGGGTGGTCACGGAGGGGACTCGGCTGCCACCGCCACACATCGGTGCGCGAGATGAACAAAAAGGAACCGTGGGAATTTAGAGTTTGGGGCTGAAGGCAGAGCTGGGACCCTGGGTTCTCCTCTGGTGGGCGGGAGAAGGCAGGTCGGTGGGCAGCGGGGAGGGAAGAGGACCGGAGAAGGTAGCCTGCCGGCAGATCAGGAGGAAACTTGATTGCAGTGTTAGTGATCCAACGCACTTCACGCAGAACCAGAGTCAAACTGTACTCACCAGAACTGTCATCCAAGAAACTCTCAGGCGAGACGAACTCTGCAGAAAACCTAGCATTCTGCAAGAACAATTTTTGTTTCAGCAAAGGGAGGACGTAGACAAGTCCTGGAGCGAGAGTGGAAAAAGAAATTCACACCCTCCCCGTCGGGGAATCGAACCCCGGTCTCCCGCGTGACAGGCGGGGATACTCACCACTATACTAACGAGGAGAAGCACAGCAGCGGCCTCAAAATTACTGCTTAGGAACCTACATCTAAGCTTCCGGAGCAATTTGTTCGTGACAGATGCAAGTTGCGGGCAAAGTTGCACATTTGCTGGGCCGAGGGTGGAGGGGAGATTGCCCGCAGGGGGACACAACTAAAACGTAAGGGAGTCCGATAGCAATTTAAATTTCCCAGTGGTCACATTAAAAAATCAGAAGGAACAGGTGATAATTTTCATAATCTACCTTATTTAACCCAATATGTGCAAAACATCATTTCAACATGTAACCAATATGAACACATTAATCAGATTCCTTTTCATACTTAGTCTTCACACCAGTATGTGTGCTACACACACACACCAAAACTTCATTCTGTTTTCACCCGAATAACTTGGTCAGTGCTTAGATTTCACAAACTTGATGATGGAGGGAGTGAGCTCATACACCCAGTTTGTTCGTGGCGCGGAGAAAAACACATGTGCGTTGGCCGGGAATCGAACCCGGGTCAACTGCTTGGAAGGCAGCTATGCTCACCACTATACCACCAACGCCTTCCTGCCCGGCCTTTCAGAAATCTGTACTTGAGGCTGGTGCAAGCCGTGGGCCTTTCTCACCTGTTTACTCGTGCTTTGTCCGTGACCCTGAGGTGTCCTTTGAGAAAAATGCATCCTGTACTCATTCCTCCTGTCCTCTCGGCCAGGTGGCGCCCCAGCACCGGGTCCACCGGCGTCGGAACTGAATCCACGATTTGAGACGAGGGTGGAGGGAGACCGCCTGCAAGAGGCCACCAGGCGTGGCTCGGCCCGCCAGAGAAGAGGCGCCAAGGAAAATAGGTCTTTGCAGTTTAGGATGGTGAAGCAGGGGGGGTCGGAGGCAGTTCTATTGGCCGTGCTTGGCGAAGGAGTCCAGGAACAGTTCTATTTTATTTAAAATCATAAACTTCACACTGGCATCATGACACGGCGCTGTAAGATATGTAACCCTTGAATTAAATAGAGGCCAATGCTCACAGCGTCAGGATGGCCGAGCGGTCTAAGGCGCTGCGTTCAGGTCGCAGTCTCCCCTGGAGGCGTGGGTTCGAATCCCACTCCTGACAAAGTAGCTTTTCTTTCCCTCCGAAGATGAAGATTGTTCTACACTTAAATATGGAACTTAGTATTTCTTCTGTAAGCAGTAGACCGGTCTATGAAATTAGGGAACAGTTGAGACTAAGGTCTACCTCTGACTATGAAAAACACCTGTTCTTTTCTTTACACTCCAGTTTCTCAGTGCCTACTTATTCCTCTTTTTTTCTGTAATATTTGTTTCTTTTTAAAAAATCTTTATTTTTGAGAGTCCCCCCTTTGCTCCCCATTGTCCTCTTTCACCAGGCTCCTGCCCCACCCAAGGCCTTCACCACCCTATTGTCTGTGTCCCTAGATAATGCATATATGCATATAAGATCTTTGGTTAATCTCTTCCCACCTCCCCCTCCCCACTTCCCTCTGAGATTCATAAGTCTGTTCCATATTTCCATGCCTCTGAGTCTCTTTTATTCATCAGTTTTTGTTCATTAATTTCTTGTTCATTTATTTTGATTTTTAGATTAAATTGTTGACAGATCTGTATTTATTGCCATTTTATTGTTCATATTTTTTATCTTTTTTCTTCTTCCTCTTCTTAAAGAATACCCTTCAACATTTCATGTAATACTGGTTTGGTAATGATGAACTCCTTTAGCTTTTTCTTATCTGGGAAACTCTTTATCTTACCTTCAATTCTGAATGATAGCTTTGCTAAGTGGAGTAATCTTGGTTGCAGGTTCTTGGTATTCATCACTTTGAATATTTCTTGCCATCACTTTGAATATTTCTTGCCATTCCCTTCTGGCCTGCAAAGTTTCTGTTGAGAAATCAGCTGACAGTCGCATGGGTACGCCCTTGTAGGTAACTAACTGTTTTTCTCTTGTTGCTTTTAAGATTCTCTCTTTGACTTTAGCCCTTGGCATTTTAATTATGATGTGCCTTGGTATGGGCCTCATTGGGTTCTTCTTGTTTGGGACTCTCTGCACTTTCCGGACTTGTATGTCTATTTCTTTCATCAGGTAGGAGAAGTTTTCTGTTATTATTACTTCAAATAGGTTTTCAATATCTTGCTCTCTGTGGTTGTTCTGGCACCCCCATAATGTGAATGTTGATACTTAAAGTTGTCCTTACACTATTTTCATATTTTTGGATTCTTTTTTCTTTTTGCTCTTCTGATTGGGTGCTCACTGAGTCTTCCCTTAAAGTGTGTCACTTGTGGATGTGTACAAGTGTAAGCTATGGTCTGAAGCTGTCCACTGGGTGCACTGGCTCTGCCCCTCCCCCGAAGGTGCAAAATCAGCCACTGCCTGGGGCCACTGACTGGAGCTACAGAGCGATCTGCAGATGGCTGCTACTTGTATTGGGCTAGGAAGTGTTCAGAAGAGCCCCCCCCCACCCCCTGCTGTGAAGCAAGGCAGGCTGCTGCCAGTACCAGGTCTTGGGCCTCTTATTGATAGGTTTGGGTCACACTGATACCAGCTGCTACTTGCTTGAGGGATTTTTAAAGTCTGAAGCCTAAGCTAGTACAGGCCATTCACATGGAAAAGCTGCTGCAAACAGCTTGGGTGGGGCTGTAAATTGGATAGGGCTGGATCTCAGGGAATCACCAGGGCAGAGCCAACAGTGGGGGCCACTCAGATATGGCTGCCAGTCAGCTCTGGGACTGGGAGGTCCCAGCTCAGGAACAATGATCCCAGAAAGCACCCCATCTGGGAGAAAAGTACCCTGAGTTATATCCTGATGCCAGACAATCCAGTTTCTCCCAGTATGTCCCTGCATCCCCCAAAGCCACCGCCTGGCACTGGAGCTCAGGGGAAGAGAGAGGCTGTAAGTTCCTACCCCAGCCCTTTAAGAGGCACTGCCTGGAGCTCCAGCAGCCGCTGTGTCACTCAGCCCCAATCCCTGCTGGCTTTTACAGCCCAAGGTTACAGGGATTTCTCTTCCCAGCTCTGGAGCCGTGGGCCAGGGGTCTGGGTGGGGCTGGGACTCCTTGCTTCCCCCAGGAGGCCTCTGCAGCTGAGATATCCCTCCTGCTCGGAAAAAAACTCCACACGTGGCTGTCGGACCAGCCCATTCTTCCCCTCCACCCCTCCAACCAGTCTCAGTGTACTTTCTTTACTTCTCTAGTTGTAGGACTTCCATTCAGCCAGGTTTCAGGAGGTTCTAAATGATGGATCTGTATTTTAGTTGTAATTTTGATGTGGTTGTGGGAGGACTCGAGTACCGGCGTGTAGCTACACCACCATTTTTTTTATTCATTTCTTTTTCAACAGCAATGCATCGAGCCTTTTCTATATGCCAAGCACACTAGGGCAGGCCGATAGCAGTGACTCCTCTGACAAAAAGAAAAGGCCTCAACCCAGATCCCTCAGTTACAGAGCCCTCAGTTTGCTGTAATTGGCCTGAGACTTTTCAGTGCTCAGGCAGTGGTGTCAAAGCCTCAGATTCCCAGCCCCGACCCACTCCCACCACCAATTCAAATTCAGTGGGCTTGCCGAGTCACCAAAATCAGGAAAGGAACTCACCAGGTGTAACAGGGCTGGGCAGCGTCACAGCGAGGAAAGGTTCAGTCGTGGAGTTGCTTATTTCAACTGCTTTTTCTTGCTGATGGCAAAGAAGCCGGTTTCTGATTTGGGAGCAGCTGGTGATGGGGAAGAGGGAGGGTGTCAAGCGGAAGAGGTTGAGTGTGTGCGGTCCCTGAGTGTGAGGACCCAAGGCCTTGGGGTGGATTAGTGAAAGTCTGCCAGCTGCACTCTTATTTCCTAGACTCTGATCTTGGGAAAGGCCTTCGACCTCTTCCTCCGCTTGGAGTCAGTGGAGGTGGTGTTGCTGTTAGTGAGGTAGCCTGGGTACTTATTAGCAATGCAGACCTCAGACCTCCGAACGGCATTGTAAGACCTCCAGGGGCTCCATGTGCTTGTTGAGTGTAGTTAGCAGGGGGCTATCTCATCTGTCTTTCTGAAGGTTGGCATTTAACTTGGACTGTTCTGTCCCTTCTTCTCACCAGGCCCCCTTTACTCTGGATCATTTGAGCACTTACACGGTGCCTAGAACAAAGGCTAAAGTAGTTAAATTAAAAATGTGAACTGAACACGACGGTGGTGCACTCACAGGAGACGATGAAAACTGTAAGCCAAGTTGGACCTGCGCCACATGATCGCGGTAAATGAAACAGGCCAGTGAGCCAGGGCAGGTGGAACAGGGAAACTGAGGCAGAGAGCGGAACAAACTGCAGAGCAATGTACAGCGGATGCAGGAGGTCCCCTCCCTGGAGATGCCAGACAGCCAGGCCTCCGTTGTACTTCAGCTCCAGGGCGGCACCTGGACCAGCTGTGTGCCTGACGGACCCCCTGCCCTGACACTGACCCATCGGTGGAGACCACGCCCTGGAGGAGCCGCCTGGCACACCGGTGACCGTTCTGCTAGAAGCCTCCCCGCTGACCTCCCCGCAGATTCCCGCCTGCAAGAGAGAAAGAACAGCCTCAAGACGAAGGGCCAGGCCTGCTCTCCCGCTGGGGGCAGCCCGGGCGGCCCTTTCCCTCCTCTCCCCTCCTCCTCCCCCAAAGGCGTCTCCAGCCCCAAAGGACCCACCAGGCTTGCAGCCAGGGAGCCATGGGCAGCGGCAGCTCGCCCCGGGCTCACCCCGGACCTGACTCCAAGCCCCTGGGCTCTGACTTCCCCGAGAGCGAGGGCCCGGCCTGGCTCTCCCGTTGCCTCTGGATGAGTCACGAAGACTCCACAACCGCTGACACGATGCGGTGAGACAGGCCCTCGCCCTCTGACCTTCTGCCCAAACACCTGCCTGATCATGAACGCAGCTCCATCAGCCCCGGCTGCGGGCCACCGGCTGGCGCTGCGGGAGGGTCCGCCCGCTGCCAGGGAGTCGCGGGGCGGCGGCAGAGGCGGCGGGCTCGCACCGGCAGTGCAATCGCTGTTTTCAAGTCGTGGCGCTGTTTCGCCTTGAAACAGACCGGCACCCTCCTCGACTGGGAACAGAGGGGCTCTGGGCCCCGCTGCGGATGGACCCGAAGGTACCGTTGGGGAGAAGGGAAATGCTGCAGGAAGCGCCCCCGTGGGCATTGGTGGTTCAGTGGTAGAATTCTCGCCTGCCACGCGGGAGGCCCGGGTTCGATTCCCGGCCAATGCAGCTTGCTGTTTTCCCCTTTTCCCGCCTGGCGCTTGCAACCTGGAGGCGCGACAGCCAGGTAGCCGAAGGCTGGGCTCTTCGGCCGGGTCCCCATTCCCCAGCGGTCGCCCTCAAAACAGCGGGGACCCCGCTCGGTGACCGATCCCCCTGTGGCCAATCGCTGGCGGCGGGACCCCTGCGGGTCCGGAACCGGAATGTCCTGTTTGAAGTCAGGTTTCTTCTTGACGTCGGCTCCCCAGAAAAGCCAAATACTCGGAGCCGCGAGGTGGAGACCGAGGAGCGAAGCGCAGGGGCCGAGCGCCCCCCCCCACCCCGCCCCCCGGAGTGGAATCCGGCCTGTGGCCAGGGGCGCCCTGAGGTCTTCGTCCCGGGCCGCAGCTTTTATGTAACCTTTGTAATTTGCCTGATTCAAATGAAACGACCGTGTTTAAGGAGAAGCGAAAGTGGCTCTTCTCTCCTCAGATGGCTCTTCTCCTGCAGGAAGCTGGGGCCCGGGTCGGTGTGGGGACCGGAAGGAGCTCTCAGTCAGCCCCCGCTTCCTCCAGGCTGCCCTCCCGGATCCCTTCCTCTCCGGAGTTGGGGCATTTTAGCCAAGGGCCTGAGAGAGAAGGGGGCCGGTGGCCTGGCCTCTTCAGGGACTGCCTGTCCCAGCTCCCTCCACCTTCCCTCCCAGCCCTGAGGCTCAGAACTTCCACCTTCCCTCCCAGCCCTGAGGCTCAAAACCTCCTAGCACT